ATTTAGCTGACCAACAGGCGACGAGGAATATATATATATATATATATATATATATATATATATATATATATATATATATATATATATATATATATATATATATATATATATATATATATATATATATATGTTCAACCATGTCATACAATTTATTTTATAATGACTGTATTATTGTAGGTATGTAAATTTATGACCCATTTAATGGAGTTTGTCATCTTTAATAACTCTAGGCTCAAACTATATACAACAATATTTTTTCAGAAAGCTTTCTACACTCCGGTTGTTTGGTTCTGTTTTCTTTTGTTCATTGTTGGAATGTAATCAGTAAATGTTTGGGTTCTATAAACAGTCTTGATTCAAACCCTAGAAGATTCCAGAAACACTTTCTTTTCAATTCGATGGAAATTTCCATTAAGATGACCATATTCGGATCTTAATGTCATTTACGTTTTTATAATAGGGTTGTTTATGCGTAACATCACGACTGCCAAAAATCTGATGATTATCTAACGTTTTTATCAATCATTAATTCTTGTCACATTTTTCAAAATCTAACAAAACATGACTTGCATAATTTATAACCACTTCCTTTAATATTTTCATGTTAAAAGCAAAACTCACTATAAACCCTGGCAGTAATCGGGCATTATTGTTACCTTATTGATTTCATGTTTTATTTCATCAATTTATGTGATAAATGCAGCTTCGAAGTCACTAACAGCTTATATTTTTCTTTGTCGTTCTGTTGGTATCCTATATTTATTTCTGTAATTTGAGATTGTACAGTTTTGTTGTTTTCCTGAGACTACTTCATTTCCTTTCTTGTCATTCTCGAGGGCATATATTTCCGCATTTATCGTTTTTAAATCGTTGTCAGTATTAATGAAGTTTTCTCCAGGTGTTAAGCAATATAGTTAGTGACGAAGTTGATATGATCATTTCCGGGAGAAAGTACTGATTAAGAGCTATGTTTATCTAATTCAGAATCGATGCTGAAATTATTATCATTATTTGCTCCCATACTTTCATTAACTTTTTCATATACATTTCTAAATTGTTGAAACCATCAATAATCAGATAATTATTCGTTTCATTCCTATCTCTAATGTAGTAAAATATATATGTTTAAATCAACAAAATGTATTCTCTGTAAAGATACATGCAAAGTCTCTATCTCTGTTGTCCTTAAGGTTTGAATATATATATATATATATATATATATATATATATATATATATATATATATATATATATATATATATATATATTTCTTTTTACCACGCAGGTGATAAAGACGTAGTCCTTGTATTTTCTAATGACTTGTATTTTCTCAGAATTTGTCCGATGAATCTTTCTCTCAATTACTTCCTCTCTTCCACTTGTCTTTATTTCCTTTTCTATTATATTTTGGGATGGGGGAACTTTCCATGTTTCGGTTGTCTGTAGTCTGGCATTGATGCTGAAATGATTATTTGTAGCATTTGTATTATTCGTTAAGTAGACAATTAAACTCTTTATGATGTATCTCATTGCCACTTATTGCATAGGTAACATTTGTACTACTTAGCATTCTTATTTACTTCTAACCTTTTTCATAAACTATCTTACCTCTGAAAGCATTGGCAATATATTATAATGCATTTGCTTCGAAACCGTTAAGTCGAGTTGAATTCCAGGAAGCTCTAATCCTAATGTAACAGTTGCTAAAACCAGTCCACCAGATAATGTTGCCCTACATACTTCATTGCCATTTAAATACGTCATTTTTCTTAACGAAATCACCGATATTTTGTAATCAAAGATTATATATAATATATTTTTTTCGAACTGATTTTCAAAGACACACAAACACACTCACTCATGCACAATATATATATATATATATATATATATATATATATATATATATATATATATATATATATATATATATGTGTGTGTGTGTGTGTGTGTGTGTGTGTGTGTGTGTGTGCCCCGTTCGGGGCATAATATAAAAATCACTTTTTGTGAAAAGACTTTGCTTAATAACATAACCGTTAATAAATTGGTTCGACATGAATTTTCATGAAAATAATTGCAAATAGTAATATGTTTCTTATTAATCTGAGATACTTTGGTGATATATTATCACTAACATGCAGATTATTATAAAGAATATCAGGCGTGTCAAACTGAGTCAGTCGGCACAATCTAATGTAAACTAAAACCTGGCAGGCCAGGGATATAAAGGCTGGTACTGATATATTGTCACTTCTTGTAGAAACATTGGTTGCTTCCTCTCACTAATTTTATAAATAAAAAAATTGTACAGTATCGCTATCAGAATTAACATAATCCAATAAATCAACATACTCGTTATCAGACCAAGTAGGCGTAACACGTCTCTCACCATAAAAAGGGGAATTTTGACAGCAACAGCATCGCCATCACTTGTAATGACATATGTTTACTTACTTAGCACTACCTTCAGAAAACTGTGTGCAACCCAGTCCGTGGAATCATCGTGCCATGCATAATTATTCATATTGGTCACGGACAATACATTTATTTGATACTTAACTGAACACCCTGCTTCTGTGTCTCAAATTTATTTGTAGGTTTATGTCTAGAAAGACATGTTTTTCTCTTTTGGAGGATACTGTTCTGCCATTTTAACAACAGTAATATGTCAAAATGAAAACGAGATATATTTTATTAAGTCAACATATAGATATTTCTAAATTATATTCATCCATTAATTATGAGGTACACATTATCTAACAAAGTTGGATCATCACGTCTTTGTTATATAGTACCTTTGTTATTTACACATTATATGATCATAGCGCAATCCCTAAGCAGAGCTTTTGCTGTTAAGCATTTCTTAGTTAAACGACTGTTCTAACTGAGGAAGACTCCCCGAGCAATCCGAGTAAATCAAACGCTATATTCATTTCAATGTTGTTCATGAAGAAGGTTATAACAATGCCATTTTGATAAATAGGAATTAGATTTTCATGGGAAAAATATCAGAGTCTGAGAAAACTTTGTATTCAAGAAAGAATGTATGTATGTATGTATGTATGTATGTATGTATGTATGTATGTATGTATGTATGTATGTATGTATGTATGTATGTATGTATGTATGTATGTATGTATGTATGTATGTATGTATGTATGTATGTATGTATGTATGTATGTATGTACGTACGTACGTATGCACGCACGTGTATACATACATACATACATACATACATACATACATACATACATACATACATACATACATACATACATACATACATACATACATACATACATACATACATACATACATACATGCATGGATGCATGCATGCATGCAGGTAGGTAGGTAGGTAGGTTGGTGTGTGTGTGTGTGTGTGCTGGTATAATTAAGTTTATAACATATTTAAAACTCATTTAATGTGGTAGTCCAGCGCTAAATATGAGCAGCATGCTATAAGCAACTTATGTAGTAGATTGTGTCCCTTTTCAAAGGTTGTATAACTGTTTTACTGGCAAACTTTAATGTGTACATCATCGACAACAACATCTTTACCATCCAACTTTTAATAAACGTTTGGAAGATTTTTCCCCTTTTCAGGTCATATTGTCTTATCGTTTTCCAGCTTCCGTTTCTCTCCATTTAGATCTATTGCATGATTGTGTCTTTTTTCCCAAGATATCATTAGTGTTGATAGGTGGATGTATCTTCTTTGGTGAACTTACCTTATCGGCCTACACCTTATTCTTGACTTTGTTTTCCTGGCCATTCTTTTCATTTACAAAAGAATTACAGACGAAGACAAATGTAATTTTTATGTCTATTTCCAAATCAGTGAATATTATCTTTCTAAGTTTAGAGTTTTAAAAAACTTCAATTTCGTGTTGGTCCCTTTCCGTATATTTGTAAAAAAAAAAACCAAAACAAGTTGCAATGAAAGAACATACGTGGTTTTCAGCTTGTTTGAAAGTTGACATGCGTCATTTTGCAAGATGATACTAAAAACTATCAGCAGTACAAATATAGTGAATTTGCATTGCTTCGATTAGATAGACTTAAGAAGATCGTGACAACTTAAGAATCTGACGGAATGTTAAAAAACAAGTTGATGCAAACATTGTCCAAAACACATGCAAGGCTTCAGGATAACAAATGGTAAAAGAGAAATAAAATCGCCACAATGAACACAAGAAACATTGGTGAGATAAAAAAAAATAAAAACGACACATTGAATATTTGAATCAGTGTAATAAATTAGAAGACCAAAATGATGAAAACGTTAGAACACTGCTTTAAGGAACAATCTCAAACCTGGTACCTTTTTTAGACTTTAACTTTCTGTTTGTTTGTCCATATACTGATTCTTGGTTACTCGTGTTATAATATATGTCCTTAAATCATCTTTTTTAGAATGTTAGTATAGGTTGGTCTGACATGTTTGTTCTGGAGAACCTTTTCTGGCATATAAGTGTCATGATTCCAGGTCAAAAACTAAACTTGTCACAAGGCCCGGTATATGCTGTCATAGCCATATATCTGGGTAAGAAAAAGACGCCTTCACCACCTATTGCATGAATATACTGATATGAAGGCGCGTGCGTACTTTCATGTGATTCTCGTTCATCACTGAATGAAACAAAGTGTGTTAAACAGCAAGTAATATTTAGAAATTAATTTAGAAAAACGTTAAAATACCATACTAAAAATATGAGCCGGAAAAAATCAATCCTAATACCATAGTGATGGTGTGATGTGATGTAATGTGGTTATGATTTTTAACGTAGCTTTAATAAATTTTTGTCATATCGCTACGATATCTGAAGTGTTGCGGTTTATAGTGATGTCTAGCACTGGGGCATCATGCTGCAGACATGTAGCATGATATCCCACCCAGACACATTAACCTGACACCAGGACGACCAGTCCTAACACTAACATTATAATACTGAACGTCAAGTGAGGCATCTGTTAGTACCATTTTTGTAAGTCTTTGGTATAACTCGTCCGGGTATCGAAACCACGACCTCCCGCATCCGAGGAGGACGCTCTAACCACTAGGCCACTGGAGCGATCCGTTGTAATGCTGCTGACATGGTCATAATAGTGGGTAAATATCAAAATCGAAAGTGTATTGTCAGTAATAATTGTTTCCAGGATTTTGCCTCCGTAATCAGGTATTTGTCGTAGTCTCGATGAATTAAATGTTTAATTTATCGAGGCTACGACAAAGACCTGATTACAGAGGCAATCAGGCAATCCAAAGAAAAAAAAAACGCGATGACCTACTCAAATATGGAATAAAATAAAACGCTGATAGGATACCATATATCCTGACCTACCACCCAGACAACCCCAAAGTAGGTAAAATCATCGCAAAACACTAGCCCATCTTGCAATCGTCGGACATACTAAAACTAATCCTTCCGAACACACCTGTAGTAGCCTACCGGAGACCAAAAAAACCTCAAGGACATCCTAGTCTGGGCAAAGCTAACGCCAATCACTAGTCAAGACCAACACTTATCGCAATTGCAAACAACCACAGCTGGAGATCCGAAACCAGGAAGGAAAAAGAATCTTACTGGATACGCCGCCTTAGAACATTGAAACCATGCGGTCTGACTAAACCAAGAAGACTAGAAAAAAACTTTGCACTAGTAGAATTAGTCTTTATAGCCAACACAGTTTCTTTTCAAACTTTTCCTAGATCTTTTTAGTATCCTTTAATTATTGCTATAAGAATAAAATATCCGTATATAATCAAATATCCGGGATATAATCTGCGTTACATAAATGTGCACAAAGTACTAGATGTCGCTTTGGGTCGTAGACTTTTAGGGAATTATAAACATTTTTCATTATTCACAACAAGTCTATACAGGCTGGTTGAGACAATGTATCTATAGATTTAACATATGTGGAGACATCCATGTAGAGTTTTACAAACACATCGTATTTGTGCTTATCTGTTTGTTTATATATGTTTGTATTTGCCTTTCAAAAAGACTTATTAAGAGTCGAAAGCGCTCGGGTTAGTTAGTTACTATTTTCGCACTGGTCGTCGTCAGTTTATTGCATCTATTATAATCAATCCCTGACACACGTGATCTTTTGCTGGATCCAGTGCACTTGAAAGGGTTATTATTCGCCATATGATTTGTATTCTCTCTCTCTCTCTCTCTCTCTCTCTCTCTCTCTCTCTCTCTCTCTCTCTCTCTCTCTCTCTCTCTCTCTATATATATATATATATATATATATATATATATATATATATATATATATATATATATATATATATATATATATATATATATATATTGTTATTTATCAGCTCGTTCAAAGTAAAACAAATAAAGAGTGCAGACAACAAGATTTGTAAATTTTAACAAAAATAATTTATTTCCCTAGAAAACATGGAAAAATGTATGTAAAGCAAGACCTACGAAAAAGATCCAAATTGTTTGCTCTAATGACATAAAATATAAGTCAACTTCTTCTAGCACAAAAAATATATTTTTGAAGGTAATAGAAGCTGTGTGACTATAAGATGTTGAAATCCGACAATGTCTTTGACTCTGTGACTGACTTTTCTTACATAATAACTAAGCATATAAACGAAGCTAATACATCGTTTCATTTGTACGCGCACGGAGGACACGTGTAATTTCGCAATGCATTTGGACATTAGGAAAGCCTGACAAAGTATCAGTTAATCGTTTTCATAGCTATTCATGGACGTTTACTTGCGGCAAATTTACCATCGTACACAGCTCGTGCTTAGATGAATCACATTTACGACTTAAGTAAACACGATGTTTCTAACAACATTGTAGACCCATGCTAATATAATCATAATGATAATTACATTTAATGAAATAAAGGAAATATATATATATATATATATATATATATATATATATATATATATATATATATATATATATATATATATATATATATATATATATATATATATATATTCCCATTGCAATTGCGAATAACGGAAAAAAGATTCAGAGTTGATAAAAGTTCACTGTTCACTTGTAGCAGATGTTGCTGACTGAATTATTGTATGGCTAGTCGTTCATTTTCAGTATTTTTATATATCATGTTTTTACAAATTTCACCTTGCAGTTTAAAGTTTTTTATGTAGATTCATGTTTTATTTTTCTAATTCTAATTTGCATTATTATATATAAAGTGCATCCTAGATACATAATATTTGATTGTTTGTACCTATTTAGTTAATTATCCTCCTTTGCTTTTCTACTTCTCTTGCTTTTGCAGGTTTTCTAATCAATTTCTCCGCTTGGATAAGTTTTATCATAATTCATATTCACTTTAGATTTCTTTGTCCGGATTGATATATACTTATACACACGCAAGGAAGGGCACGCACGCACCCATTTATCTCTCTCTCCTTTGTTCTCTCGCTCTCTCCCTCCCTCCCTCTCTATCTACCTACCTGCATACATACATAAGTACGTACGTGCG